GTTTCTCTGAAATAGATTGTATCCCCCCATTATTACATTCCAATCGTGGGACTTATCCCACCAGGTTTCAGTGATGCCTATTATGTCATATTTAGTTTGCTGTACCAAGAGCTCAAGGTCATCTTGTTTATTTCCCATGCTTTGCGCATTAGTGTACAGACATTGAAGTCCATTAATCATTCCCCCGTGTCTCTTATTTAAGGATTTTTTCCTCCCACCACTAGGTCTGCGTGCTGTTTGCTCCATTTGGTCTATGACATTTGGATGATCATCTTCATCAATTGATAGACTCCTACCTTCAGGAGCACTGTCTCCCTCCCCCACATTAGTCAGTTTAAAGCCCTCCTGATGAGGTTTCTGAGATTTTTGGCAAAAACATTTCTCCCAACCGTTGTGAGGTGCAGCCCATCGCTTGCCAGAAGTCCATCTTCAAGAAACTGCAGTCCGTGATCTAAGAATCCAAACCGTTCCTGTTTACACCATTTGCGAAGCCAGCTGTTCACTTCCACTATTTTTCCCTCTCTCCCTGGGCCACGTCGTTCAACTGGGAGGACAGATGAGATGACAATTTGTGCATTTAGTTGCTTCAATTTCCTGCCAAGAGCCTCGTAGTCTCTTTTGATCTTCTGGAGGCTATTGCTTGCAGTGTCATTGGTTCCCACATGAACCAAGAGGAAGGGGTATTTGTCAGTGGGTTTTATGATTCCTTGCAGTCGTTCAGTTACATCTTGGATCTTAGCCCCGGGGAGACAGCACACTTCCCGAGACATCTTGTCAGGCCCACAGATCACTGCTTCTGTTCCCCTCAGTAGGGGGGGACACTATCACCACTACACGCCTCCTCTTAGGTTTGGTCAGGGTTCTTCCGTGAGCTGTCCATTCCAAGATCGCCTGCACATTCCCTGAGGACTGACTTTGCTGCTCGTCTTCATATACCTGATCGACTGTAATGAGGGAGAGATCCTCAAATGGAGTCTGCTCTTCGTCTTCCATGTTAGGGGAGAGGACCTCAAAGCGATTGTGTATTTCTAAACAATCAGAGCGAACCCTGGGCCTCCTACTTCTTTGAGTCACGTTTCTCCATATATCTGGCTCCTGTGTTGGTGAACTAGCCTCCTTCTCAGGGGAGTCCCCTGTCTCCTCCTTGGTGGAGACGGTGTGCTCTGTTGATTCCAAGAAGAGCTCCAGCTCTCTAATTCTTTGGAGCGTAGCTACACGTTCCTCCAGTTGCTGGACTTTGTCTTTTAAGAGGGCAATCAACATGCAATTGCTGCAGGTAAAGCTGCCTGCAACCTTTGGCAAGAGTTGGCTCCATGTGCAACAGAAGCTCTCCTTCCGCAGAACATGTCGAAGGGGAAGGGAGATCCTAAGGCTCAGAGCAAACTTTCTCCCCTCATCCAACCCCAGAGAGCTTCCCTCTGTTGGAGAAGCCTTTCAAAGAGGGGGTGGAAATTCACTTGAAGTGGCTTTGAAGCCACCAACACGCTACTTCCCTTCAGGGGGAGAACCAGAAGGGATCGGCAGGAATCAAATCCACCCAAAGTGGCCAACTAGAAGAAGAAGAGTTTGGATTTCATATCCCGCTTTATCACTACCCTTGTTGTTTAGTCGTTTAGTCGTGTCCGACTCTTCGTGACCCCATGGACCAGAGCACGCCAGGCACTCCTGTCTTCCACTGCCTCCCGCAGCTTGGTCAGACTCATGTTTGTAGCTTTGAGAACACTGTTCAACCATCTCATCCTCTGTCGTCCCCTTCTCCTTGTGCCCTCCATCTTTCCCAACATCAGGGTCTTTTCCAGGGAGTCTTCTCTTCTCATGAGGTGGCCAAAGTTTTGGAGCCTCAGCTTCACGATCTGTCCTTCTAGTGAGCACTCAGGGCTGATTTCCTTCAGAATGGATACGTTTGATCTTCTTGCACTCCATGGGACTCTCAAGAGTCTCCTCCAGCACCGTAATTCAAAAGCATCAATTCTTCGGCGATCAGCCTTCACTACCCGGATGTCAGGGAACTGCCATCAGTGCCGGAGGGAGAGAGCAAAATCCAGAGGGATTCCAGAGAGCGTCCTGGGATTGGGAGAGGCAGCCCATCTTCTTGGGAAGAGAATCAGCATAGCACCAGTGCAGAAGGGGGGCAGATGGGGGAATCGGCGAGGCGGTCCCATGACTCCTTGCCGGGGACCAGTGGGGAGAGTAGGGGTCCTCCGCTGCCTACGCCCTCCTTGCGCAGAAGGCTTTCGCGCAGACAGAGTAGGAGGAGACTAGGCGTCAAAGAGCTTCTTTGCTGGAAGAAGTTTAAGAAACGCCCACTGATGGATTCTGCAAGCAATTGAGACAGCCACGGGGGGTGAGTAGCTGTCCGGACAGAAAAGGTTCACTCAAGCAACCCAGCCAGGTGTTTGCACCGACTTATGCACGAGCAACCCCTAGAACCATTACACCTAAGGAGTCTCAAAGTGGCTAACAATCTCCTTTTCCTTCCGTCCCCACCACAAACACTCTGTGAGGTGAGTGAGGCTGAGAGACGAGAGAAGTGTGACTAGCCCAAGGTCACCCAGCAGCTGCAGGCGGAGGAGCAGGGAAGCGGAACTGGTTTGCCAAGTTATGAGTCCACCGCTCTTAACCAGTACACCACACTGGCTCTCTAAAGCATCTCTAACAGATAGCCATCCAAACTCTGCTTCAAAACCTCCAAGGAAGGAGAGTCCATGGTCAGATCCAGCTCCTTCTTTGGTCCTTGGGAGCAAAGTTCAGGCCAAACTTCCATTTCCCCAAAACACCTTCTGACTTTTCTCCATCATGTTTTTCTCCAGCTCTGCACCTGCTGCCTGAGCGATTCAAGACTTCGGAAAGTTAGTGTGATGAAACTTATTCCACTTGGAATAATCAAAATTATAGTCATCTCCTCTTCTAAATGCTCAGGAGATATTTCTGGAGGTTACATCAGCCTCAGAAAGTAGCATGACCATATTAATTGCACTGTGTCTGGGAAAGAAAAAGTTGGTGCAGAGAATATTTCCTGTGTTGGAGACAGACCGAGTGAAGATGCAGAGCTGGCGAAAGAGGGGTGTGCCTGCCTTGTGCTTCCTAGCTCAGAAGGTATAGTTGAAAACCACCCAGATTGGGAAAGCCTACCCAGTCTGGTCTTGCAAGAGTCTTTGGGTTCTTCTGTTTTGCCTCTTTGGCAGGTAAGAGGAGGAGGCAGAGCCAGAATGAGATCCCTGCTCCTTGTGTTGCTGCTTCTGCTGCTGCTGATGCCCTTTGGAGTCTGCGGGAACCACAAGGCGAAATGCCCCTTGAATCTGGTCAGGGATCAAACGGATGCTCGCAATTACTACCAGCCTGGACACTTTCTCATCACTGGGATCATATCTCCAAAACGCTTTTATGTGGAAACTCCATACGTCTTTTCTCAGACACCCTTCGCCAGCACTGAAGAGTATGTACTTCACAGTTTCACGGTCCTCCAGTCCTTCTAGTGGTTCCTATTTATCAAGGAAAGAGCCCCTTTCTCAGGGCTGGGGAGCCAAGGCTGTCCTCATGTTGCAGGTCTACCCTGCCCTGACCATTGGTCTTGCTGGCTGGGCTGATGGGAGCTGGGGGTCCACTAAAAGATTCCAAACAAACCTCTCCCATTTCCTTGTTCCCTGGGTCTTTCTTAGTGAAACACTCTCCTACCTATGGATGCACTGAATTTTCCCACCTGCAGGATGCCATGAAACTCAGGCAATTCCCAAGGCTCAAGGGTTTTATTCAATATTATTCCATTTGGATAATCCAGAAACTGTCGTTAGGGAATGCTACATTTTTAGAAATGGAATTTAAGATCCTCTGGGTGACGTTTGGTGGCTGAAGAGCAGAAAAGATGTACTTTAATTGAAATGATGAATAAAATAATATGAATCAGGAGACTTCCTTGTTCGTGGAGTCAGGTCTCTAAAATGTGAAAAGGAATTATTCCTTTTTTCACATACACAACTGGCCTCATTTCTAAGTAGTGAGATGTTTGATATTTCTTCACTTAGAATCCATAGGTACCTGTTTCCTATCCCAGAGGGAGGCATGAAACTCAAGCAATTTCCAAGCTGCCAAAATTATTTTATGTTTATTCTATTTGGATCATTTGTGAACAACCTTAGCCCAGTTCTCTTGACACAATACCACAGGAGACCTACAGCCCACCATGGGCTACATTAAAGGTTTCCTCCTCCAATCTCAGCACTTTTTCCTTTCTGTCACTGTCTTTTAAAAAATAATTAGAAGCGTTTTAAGAAACGCTTGAAAATGGGTGGATTTTTATGGGTGGAACATTATGCTTCAAATAAAATGATTATATAAAATAATACAGACCAGGGTGTGTCCTCATTGGTGGAGTCACTGATGAAAAACATGTGCAAAATTATAGGTTTTACCACGCACTCAAACCTGAAAGCCACCAGGCCTCATTTGTAACTAAAAGGGGACTGAGGTATTTGGTACTTCTCATCGTTCAATCAAATTGTCTCTTATCTGCCTTTGGTCCAGCCCGTTGGAGGAAACCAAAGACCACTGCAGCAAAAGCAGCCCTTGCAGCAACTTCCCAGTATATCACACATTTTGAGGGGCGCCTTCATTTCTTACTCATAAAACCATAGTAGAATAGAATCATAGAGTTGTAGAGATGGAAGGAACCCGGATGAATCTCACCTGAAGCATCCATGACACATGGTCACCTTCGGAGGGAGTCTCTTCCACTGTTGAACAGCTCTGTGTGCTGTTTGCATCAAAGCTCCTGTCATGGAGTAGAGATTTCCAAATTTTTGTTCTATGCTAGACAGGAAAAGATTTGATATTAATGTAAAAGGATAAACAAATACTAATCTTTGTGGATCATATAACATTCCCTCCCTCCCATTCATATGAATATCAGTTTTACTCTTTTTAAATCATTCATTTATTGCAGGGACGGAACTAGGTTCCACTGGCACATGTTGTCTTTCCCGGTCACCATTCAAGAGATCAACCAGGATCTCAGGCTCTTACCCAACATAACCTGGGCTACAACATCTATGAGAACTATTGCGATGCAAGGACGACTTCGGACGCCATGTTAGAGCTGCTTGCAGGCAGTGGATGCAATATTCCCAATTATCACTGTGGAGAACAGAATCACCTGCTGGCTGTTCTTGAAGGAGGCAATACTGTCATCTCAAGAATGATTTCAGCCTTGTCAGGCATCTACAAAATCCCACAGGTAAGTAGTGGGAGAGGATGGAGGGAAAGAGAATTTCAACTGCGTAAAATTCTTCTTTCTCTTTGGAGGGGTCAAGTGCGGACATTTTTAAAAATGGGAAAATCCTGAGCTATGAATCCAACATCCCCTGAGCCTTCACCAACTTGACACCTCCAGATGTTTCAGACTAAAACTCCCATCAGCCTTCGCTAGCAGAGATTTAGATATCAGTCATTTCATATGATTAAATACCTGTTATGCTGAAAGTAGAATAAATTGCTGATCTTTTGCTTTCCTTGCTAGATTAGTTATGGCTTCACTGCCCAGGTTCTCGAAGTAAAACCCTGTTCCCTTTTCTCTACCGGATGACTCCCAAAGAGGAAAGTCAGTACCAAGGGATTGTTGAATTGCTCCTGTATTTTGGATGGACGTGGATTGGCATCTTCACTCCAGACAATGACAGTGGAGAAAGATTTGAGAGCGCTGTGAAATCTCTGATGCTCAGCAAAGGGATCTGCATTGCTTTTTCAAAAATTATACCAGAAAATGATATAAAACAATCTATCAGGCCTGGGGAACCTTTTTTCCTATGGAGACAAGTTGGGGTATTTGTTTCCTATATAACCAATGCACTGGGTGTCATGATACTCCTGGCAATAAACATGGCATATGAGAAGGAAATAGGGGCGAAAGTCTGGGTCACAACAGCTTTGCTAGAAATCAGAATTGGCTTTCACCTCCCTCCAGATATGTTCCAGCACCTCCATGGTTCTCTGTCCTTTGCAATTCAGACTGGAATAAGGAGCAGCAAAGGTGACAAATTGCAGACCAATCTTCTGGATTATTTGAATCAAGCATTTCCGTGTTCATATTCAAAGCATCTGTTGTCCGTGAAAGGCAGGGTAAGATGCAGAGAGGAGGAGAAACTGCAGCCATTGCCCCAAGCGGAGCGTGAGAGAACCCTGTCCCTAGACAGCTATGGCACTTACATCAATGTTCAAGTTGTGGCTCAGGCCTTGCATGCTTCGCTTTCATCTAGATCTCAGAGGAGGCTGATGGGGGAGGAAGGAGAGCAATGGGGACCCCAAAGGCTACAGCCGTGGCAGGTATTTCCTTCCCCGTTTTGCAAACTGCAGTCCACACAGATGCTGATCTTGACTGGGGATAGACCTGCAACATTTCATAATTACTATTAGTACTAGTAATAGTAGCATACAGCACAACGTTTCTCTGTTGAAAATAGAGACGTCCCATAACGATAATTTTACTGTTGATATCCAGAGCTTTTTAAAGGCGGAACTCATTGAAACTCAGTTTTGGCACCTCTCAGGTGGGTGCCATTGCCATTCTCAGAGGGAGGTGTTCATGGTGAGTTCCGGCACCTTCATTTCTAGAGAAAGAGCACTGTTTACACATCTTCTTCAGTTGCCTCAGGACTCTGGGCAGCTCCCAACATAAAGAAATTCATACTAAAATATTAAACATCTTAAATATTAAACAATATTAGACGGCTTGTGGGTTGAATAACTCCACATCCACCAACATTTCTCCAAAGAAAATAGGGACATTCTAAGGAAAAGTGGGAAATTCTGGGATCAAATGAAAAACTGTCTCTAATTCAGGGACATCCCTGGAAAATTGGAGCACTTGCAGGGTCTGTAGTAATAAAAATGGCTGAATAGGAATTCCAGTCTACATGAGATACACACAGGCCCCAAATCAGAAGAGGCTGAAGTGAGTAGGACTGAGATATCCCTCTTGGCTTCCCGATTTCTTAATGCTGCTGCTTTCCCCTGTGATTCCAGCTTCACCCTTTCTTAAGAGAAATCCAGTGTCTGAATACTTCCAGAGGCAGGCTGTGCTTGGATGAGAATTGGGAGCTGCCAGCGGACTTCAATATTATGAACTGGGCCATCTATCCCAATAAGTCTCGTGACCTTGTGAAAATTGGGAATATACGGAGAGAGACATCTGCTGGCATAAAGTTCACCATTAACCCAGAAGCCATTGAGTGGAACAAGAAATTCAATAAGGTAGGGTGAATCACAGAGGGAGAAGGCTAGGAGATGCTTATTATGTTTTTCCTTAAACAACCGCTGAAAAATGACCATATCAGGTTGACCAATGGTGTCTTGACCCTCAATAGCAGCTGCAACCACCACTCCTTCTTTCCACAGCAGCTGAGATAGGAAGGGAATTTGGGGTGCTCAAAGAAAGGATAGAGCCCAGAGGTCCTTAGAAAATACACCATCTATTTCTGAGCCAGACTGAGAATTTAAGAATTCTGGACAGAATCTTTAACCGAATGGACTACGTAGATAAGAAGAAAAGGGAAAGCCCCTAGTAAAAGTGAACTATTGGGCTTTCATACAAGAGGATGGAAAGTAATTTATTTTAGAAATGATAATTACTGATTTATTGTGGATTTTTTAATTTGTAGAGTAAGCTCACTTGTAGATGTTGGAAATGCTAAACTATTGTATGTGCAGGAATTGAGAAGTGCACAGCTGTTGGTGAAGGATGAGAAGTTAAAAAAACAACAACCCCTATTGTAATATAAGGTTAATGTTAAGGAATGGCATATGAACTAGAAATAACTAGGGAAATAGATCAGCAACAAGAGGAAACCTTGCATGCCTCAAGAAGAGAGTGAGGGAAACCAATATTTGGAAAAGTCATATTAAATTTGTCTTTATTAGTGGTTGAGAGATTATCAGAATCCTGAACTTTGGGGAAATCACATTTCAGACTCCATTTCCATTTTCTTTGAAGAGTTATTAAGTAGGGAAGCAGGTAAATGGAGAAGAGGAAAGAGAGTTCTGTGGTGCAAACCTCACTTGTCCTGAACTAATTATGAAGAACAAGATATTCTGGTCACCCCAATGGTCAGTGGGGGGTTGAAAGGACCCTGGACTGCAGGGTCAAAGGCTGCAGTCCAGAGATCCGTTTAAACTCACTCTATGAGTGAATTACATACCCACAAATACTCCTAACTGTTCCTCTTTCTTGCACCTTCTTGTCTTTCTGGTTAGGCCGTACCTCATTCCAGGTGTACAGAAAGATGTCAGCCTGGATATGCCAAGGTGGTTCTAGAAGGAAAGCCCATTTGCTGCTATGCTTGTGCTCGGTGTGCGGAAGGGGCCTTCTCCGCCCAGGAAGGTGGGTGACGCCAAGGAGGAAGGTATTTCTGGAGAGAGTAAACACAGGGCAGTAATCCAGTCTCAAACACTTTTTGTGAGATTTCTGCAGACATTGGGGAATGGAGCTCCTTCCTCAACTTCTTTAGGATAAATCGCCTTCATTACATCCTGGAAGAGAGTTGAATGGAATGATCATAAGGAAGAAATCTCTAGGAATTTCTTCAAAACGTAATAGAGCATAGATCATTAGGGATGTAAGTGATGCTGCAGCTACTTTTTTTCTCTTCCCCAGATGCAGAACATTGCACCAAATGCTCAGAAGATCACCATTCAAACAAGGACAGAGATCAATGTGTCCCCAAGATTACCACCTTCCTGGCTTATGAAGAATATTTAGGAATGTTTTTAGCTTCCGTTGCCCTCTTCTTATCTATAACAGCAGGCATTGTGTTGGGAATCTTCATTAAATACAGGGACACTCCCATAGTCAAAGCCAACAACCGGGACCTCTCCTACATCCTGCTCGTCTCCCTCCTGCTTTCCTTTTTGTCCTCCTTCCTCTTCATCGGGCGCCCAAGGAAAGAGACCTGCCTTCTCCGACAAACGGCCTTCAGCATCATCTTCTCAGCTGCTGTTTCTTCTGTCTTGGCAAAGACCATCACGGTGGTGCTGGCCTTCCTGGCCACAAAGCCCGGGAACAGGGTGAGGAGATGGCTGGGCAAGAGTCTGGCCAACTCCATTGTCATCTCCTGTTCTGGGGGGCAAGTTCTCATCTGCACCATCTGGCTGGGCTCTTCTCCCCCATTCCCAGAGCCCGACATGCGCTCCCAGGTGGAAGAGATCATCCTGCAATGCAACGAAGGGTCTGTGGCCATGTTTTACGTTGCCCTCGGCTACCTGGGCTTCTTGGCTGCCACCTGCTTCACGGTGGCTTTCTTAGCCAGGAAGCTGCCTGGCTCCTTCAACGAAGCCAAGCTGATCACCTTCAGCATGCTGGTCTTCTGCAGTGTTTGGGTGTCTTTTGTGCCCACCTACCTGAGCACCAAGGGCAAGTACATGGTGGCCGTGCAGATCTTCTCTATGTTGGCCTCCAGTGCTGGGCTTCTGGGCTGCATCTTCCTTCCCAAGTGCTACATTATTGTGCTGAGGCCTGATCTGAACACAAAGGAGCACCTGACAACAAGGAATTAAGGGGACACCTGATTCTTAAAACATTCCATGTTCCCGATGCACAGAAGTGCCTAAAGGAAACACACCTGATCATCCATGTTGCTCCTTCTCCACCTCTGAAAGAGATTATGTTCCTTCTTAGCCCAGGTTTTGTGTAGTCCTGTTCACATGAACTGTAAGATGGGAGGAAATGTTTTGCTACCTTGCTTTGCCAAGGACTACTATGAGTCTTGATGTACTGCCCTTAGTTTGTAAACTATTATCTTTTTAAAAAATTGTGTTTTGGGAACTTATATTTATCTCACAACAAGATAGGCTGGAGGGAGAGGAGTTAGGTTTTTGAGTCTGTTTGCTTTGTCATGACTACCTATTAACCATATCAATTCTTTTTTTTAATTTCTTTTTATTAAGTTTCATATACATAACCAAAAAAGGACAACAAATCAACAAATCAGCCGTTACAAAAAAATAAAAAAATAAAAAAGTTACAAATGTCCAAATATAACGTAAAGATCTTATCCGTTTCCATTACAGTTATTTGTCTTCACATTTATTTCTTTATAACTTTAGGAACTTAAATCCCTCTTCTACCCCCTACCGACCTCCATCCCTCTCGCTTTCAGGCTTCTTCTGGGCTGCATCAATAGGAGCATAGCATCTAGATCAAGGGAAGTAATAGTGCCACTGTATTCTGCTCTGGTCAGACCTCAC